ATGAAAAAAACAGTAAAATCAAAACAAATGTGTTGAATGCAGTAAAAGATCCATAAAAAAAATTATAATTTAAAAAATTGTAAAATTGTTGAAGAAATAATACTTTTATTATAGGAAAATATTATTATTAATTTTTATGATTTCGATTAATATTGCGAAAATTTCTATTGTCAATTGGATCATTTATAAAAAAAAAAATAAAAAATGAATGATCATCATTTTTATCCCGGAAAAGAATACTTTATATTAAGATAATCGCAGATATTTATAATGATGTAACCCAGCATGTTATGATTTAATTGAGACATTTCATCCCATACATCGTAATCTTCAAATATTATTTCATTTGAAAATTTCATATATATTCATATTATAAATATAAAACTTTTTTGATAAAAATCATTCATAAAAATACAAAATAGAAAAACACATGTGCATGTATGTATTTAAAAAAGAACATAACTCTTTTAAAGAGTTGAAAAAAATATTTAAAAATGCCAAAAATTAGAAAAAACAACAAAAATACAATCCATAGACAAACTCTATAAAAAGTTATTAGTAATGAATATTTTTCGTATTTAAATTATAATCTCACTTTAAACATCTTATTAAACATCACAAATCTCAATAAATTTGAATAAATGTTACATTACATTAAATACATACATAAATATTTCATAACACGTTTTTCACGAGGTAGAAACATACAATGAAAACTGATTTGAAACATAAAAAAAATATTCAAGGCTCTCGAAACGAGTGACGAATATCTGTCGACCCACTCAATCACCAAAATAGACAATACATATAACACGAGTGACATCCGTGGGTAAGCGTTCCCTAACGCTTACCTGTGACCACGATGGAGCCTGTTTCCATTTGCAGACTCCAAAAAATTTCCAGCGCCACCGGTCAGTCGTTCGCCCCTCGTGCACTGATCTTCGGCGTCGGTTTTTCTCCAAGTCCAAGTTTATACAACGGTCAGGACGAACGAAGAGCACAGGACGAGGTAGAGGAAGGTGAACGCTCGCGACGATATGCTCGGCTCAACGTTACAGTGTTCACTGGCTCGGCGCCTTGCGAGACGGACGGGAAGAGGCCCGCGTGCGTGAACGTAACGCGGCGTACAGCAGCACGCGGCTGAATCAATGAAGGGAGAGGAGGCATATCTGTTCTCTCTGTCTTTCTCTCTCTCTCTCTCTTTCTTCGTAGCATTGGTAGGCCGCGCGCTGCTGAAAAATTGATGCTGCCCGATGCCGTTTTATGTTATGCTCTCTTCTCGATCGATAATCCGTGGATCTAGCTGATGAGACGAGTGGACGGTGGAGATTGCAGATTTGCGAAGGGATAGAGGGCGCGCCCTATTTATGGAAAGGAAGAATGTCTTTTCCACTTATGTTGTGTTGTGTATTACGTTTACGTTTCACTTTGAGGATGTGTAAGTATTTACGAAAGTATGCGAATACACTTTTTATAGGAAAATTTTATGAATAGCGTCGTGCTAAACTTTATGAAGTATTATTAGCATTATATAGCGGGATTATATGCGGATAAAGTTTGAAATAAATGTGAAAGTTACGAAAGTATTTAAATAATTAATCGATGTTGCATTAATAATGAATATTATGATGTTATTATATGTTATTATAATATAATTGTATTTTATTATGAAATTTTATTATTGAAATTGTTAAAATTTTATGTAATAGATCTTTAGCATTAATTATAATTTTTTATTTGTCTTTTTAAATATTTTATGACGTCTATGAAATGTATAATAAACATATTATATCTTATTATAATTTTAAATTTGTTTCAAATTTTATCTACAGTTAGTTTTGATAGTTGAGCCTTTATTTATGGTAATAATGATATGATATTTAAAGTTTTGTATAATATACATATTATATTATATTTAATTTTTCTGTAGCAAATTTTCATATAGCTTGTTAGCTACTTTACGCGCAGATGATAGATATTAATTAAATTAGACTTTAATTAAGAGACTTTTGTTAAATTAGAAATTATTTAGACTTCTATTAAAAAGGTTAATAGATATGGTTATTAGATATTATAAAGAATATATGATATACATATTAAATATATATTCATAATTCCATTCCTGTAATTTATTATAATATAAATATAGTAATTGTGTATTTCATATCATGTTATTCTAATATATAAATAATTCCAAGTTTTACAAATATCTTTCTTCGATTTTTTGGAAAAAGAATTTTGAAAAAATTTATCAAAAAAAAACTCTCTTCGAAGAAATTAAGAATAATTTTTTTTTTTTAATTAAGAAAATAAAATAAAAAGACGAAAGAATATAAGTTAAAAATTAAACAATCTAATAATATTTATTTTCTTACGAACGAAAATTTTTTAACAAAGAAATAAGTTATTCTTGTACATATATTTTTACAATTTTTTTTAAAAATTCAATAAAAATTTTTCAATCAAATTTTTTACGAAATATCTTATCAAAAACTTTTTACAATGAATTTAAAGTTATTCTTTAAATTTGAATTTTATACTTCACTGATATAAATAAGGCCAGCGATAAGATAATTTTACCTTTTATCGCTCTCTCTCTCTCTCTCTTTTTTTTGCGTATCTTTTCATGAGCCAGCAAAATTTCTCTTGTATTGTAACCATTATAACCACTAGAAGTTTTGCATTTATAACATGGATTATTTTTAAATAATTTCAATTTTTAATAGACAATTTCCTTTTTACCTTGAATACTAATTCCATAGAAGAAAATACAAATATCAATTTACCAATGTAAAATTATTATTTATTCGATCAGAATATTCGCGATTTACTTAACTTCACACAATATAAATTCATGTTATTCAAACATGTGCGTATCAAATAAACCTTATCCTTTGAATATCTGGACATGGATTGGAAACGAATCGGAAGAAAGGATAATTCTGTTGAAACAATAAGTTTATTGCTCGATCTATAAAAAAACAGATGAAAGGGCAAGGTGTGCACCTGTTAGAGGCCGTGCATCGGCACCGAGAGAAAAATATACACCTCGATTAATTAGAATCTATTACCATCGCGACAACAATTATAATTAGGTTAACCAGTATATCGTAATACGCGTATACGACGTATACATACAATAATGCACGTGTAATTTCCGAAGCTTTCGATCTCTCACCGGGTTGAGATTTCACGTTTGGTAAAAAATCTTTGTTTAGAAAAGAAAAGCGTAAAACATATTCGTCCCTTTAAGTCGAGATTTAACGATTCTCGGAAGAAGGGATAAATACAAATTCGCGCGTAAATCGATTGAAACTGTGATCCGCCATTTTTCAAAGAACGATTCGATTAAACAATTAGGTTATATATTTATGTGTATATATATATATATATTACTTTTTCTCATATAAAATTCAGCTTTAATAACGCGTTCAACGATTAATCCTATTAATAGCAAAAATTAATGGAACGCAGTTCAAGAATTAATTTCAGCACGATTAATAGAACAATATCGCTTCTAAGTTGTCTCGTTAATTGATCTACACGATATCGAATTTTTGATTCTGTGATAAACGAAAATAGATGGAAAACGTGAGAATAATTTTTTCCTCTTCCGAAAATATCACTTTTCTCTTTTCTTTTCCTTTTTCAATAATAAAATGTACAACAAATTTAGAAATAATTTGTACGTTTTAAACTCAGTTTGTTTTTTTTTAACGAAAATTCTTGTCCATTTCGTCTCGACCCAATCTTCAATCATTCGTTTAACGAATCACAATTGGAAATACATATATCGTGAGACGTGTATGGCATCGATCTCGACACGCTTATGGCTGTGCACGATCATAAAAGTTCGGAAAATAAACGTGAATCTCAGGATCACTAAGATGGACAAAACACTACCGTCACACACGTTTTTACAAGCTCTTCTCATTCGATTTGGCCGTTTTTCGTTTCGCAGCCCTTAAAAGCGAGGGAACAACGATTTCGATTTAACTTCTTCTTCTTTTTTTTTTTAATCTAAGCCATAGATTATCTTCTAAGCGTAAAGCCTAATGCTCAGTTGTCTATTTTAAAGTCCTATGCAGTTCAACATTTGCACCTCGTATTTTCAATTTTTCCTCAACATCATTTCTTCACAAAGAATTCTAAGAGGATGATAGTTACAAATTTTTACTACTTTTCTTTTTTTATCTCATCAATCTTAGATCTCTGTTTTTTTTTTTTGAACTTTTACAATTACAATGTCCATGCCAGAATTTTTAATTCATCAGTCTAGATTGTTTCGAACATTAAATATTGTAAAGTTATCTGTTTATCGTTGTCCAATTAACCAGATTAGGACTTTGAAATAGATCCTTGGATAGATCTCAACCCCCGCTAAGCACGCATTAATTGCATATTGTCACAATAATCTTTGCCTTATCTACGACATTCACAAACGCTGCTCCAACAATACACGATCGCGACAATGGCAACGTTCGATCGTCCAAACTGTACTCCAACAATCGATAAGCTTTTTTTTTCATTTTCAACAAACGGTGAGAAGGAACGTTTGGACGACACGTTGCGAGACGATTGGCTACTTACTATAAACGATTGTCAGGGACGGACAGTGAGGTCGTTCAACGTAAAACGTCGAAAATAATTGTCACGTGCACGGCCACGATTTTGACCACGAGCGACTTAAGATTTCATATCACGCTCAAGTCACTTGTGTATACGCAATTTAATAAAAAGAGGTAAACTTGAAACAGAAAAAAAAAAAATCATTTCTTAGCTTCCATCCACTATCTCGTAATTCTCGTAGAAATATTAAAGAAATCGATCACAATCGAATAGAATACAAAAAAAAAAAAAAGGACAACGAAGATGATAGATGGTGGATAAAAGAATACAATTTTTTTTTTTTTGGTAAGCAGTGAAAATAAAAAATTCGAATAATAAAATAAAATGCATCGAATAGAATACGATGTGACTTTTTCTTTTTTTTTTTTTTTATCATGGAAGAAAAAATGCCGAGTAAATAAAACGATCTTCCGATTGAGATAAACATATATTACACCCTTTCATTCCACACACGTTTTGTTTCGAAACGAAACAACTATTTCTCTATTAAACGCTATTCTAGACGTCAACGAACATCACCAAGTACAATAAAAAGATAATAAAAAGATATCTCAACGATCAAGCATACTCGGGCTATTTGGGGATTAATAATAAATGTTAAAATTATAACATAGATACACATCGTCTGAGGTACGGTCAATTAACCCATTGTTCTTGGTTCGTTAATCAACCAAAAGCCGTCAACGATTCGACTAGATTTTTGGATGATTTTCATTCGAATTAACTTTGACCAGGGTGAAAATGACGCGAAGAAGAAAATCCGAGAGGAATGGGCTAATTGAATATAATGATCTACGAACGCGATACCGTCAACACTTTATTTTTTTTTTTTTTTCGCCTAAAAATGCTTAACAACGAGTATAACGATTCTGTCCCACGAGATATACACATACACGTGTACATATACACATATATGTATATAAGTTGCGAGAAAGCTCTTAACGTTTATTGCTTCATCTAATCTAGAGTTAAATCGCGAGTACGACCTCGGCACTTAGCCATTCAATTTTTCTGGGATTATCGTTTCGATGATGGATCGATCGAATGTATTTCCAGTTCTTCCAATCTCAACTTCAGAACAACTTCGAAATAACATCCATTGATCCATCGTTAAATTTCAAGCTATCCACACACGTACATACATATATATAAATATATATATATATATATGTATGTGTATTTATATTATATACATAACGAGTACTTAACGTTAATCAGTTCTAACACGTTGGATTAAGCGATCCACGTTAATGAACCGAAGCTGTAGCGCCACGGAAGGAACCAGCCACTCTCTCTATTATTATTTCTCGTTAGCCGAGTAGATTAGAGTTGCAACGTTACAATAATATTCTTCACCTTTTTAATCCATTTTTCTTTGTTTCTTTCTCCTCTTCTTTTTCACGTATATCGAAAAATATTGCGACCGCGATTCCATTCATCATCGACGTGACGTAATAAAATACGATGTACAATAATCGAATAGACGCTTTTCGCTGTACAACGACGGATAAGAAAATAAGAAAAAAGCGATCGACAGTTTCCACATATTTAAGCCGTCATTTAATTCTCCATCCTTCTAAATCCGCACGATAGCTAGCCATTTATAAGAACAACAAGATCCCATCCATTTCCATCGCGACAGTGACGACAATGAATACTGATTATTGGTGTTTTGGCAGCCGATATCCGCGCAGCACGCGAAATAACAATCCCCTCATCCATCTCGATCGATCCTCTTCGCGTTACACAAACATCCTCCAACATGGAAAATCTTTCTCCAGCAAGAATCTCTGCAATTTTGATCGAGAAACAACAAGGTGGGCAGTGGTTTCTTGATTTTTCTTCAACGATCGATCTTATTCTTTATCCTCCAAGGTTGGTTTGACGCCCTCTCGTCTGTCACCAGGCACTTTTTCCCGCTCTCGGGAAGCCGATCCTGTCTCTGATCGATCGCAGCAACGCATCTTCCGAGACAGATGGGAGTCGTGATCGTGTCGAGCTGGCGGAAACGGCGAATACGGTACACGCAGACACCGTACTATCGAGTGGAACGATCGATCCGACTGCTTCGTTCTGTCCAGTGCTTCGCAGGCTGGGAGGCCGGGTCGGAGAGTTACGTGGACGTCGATGGCGACGGAGAGATTGGGTCTGGTTGGTAATACCTCATTCCGTTTATCTGGAATATTTCAAGTTTTTGTAATTTCGATGACGTGCCTTTTCTTTTTTTAAGTGCTTTTTTGGGCCTCGTCTCGTTTTTAAGATAGATTGCCTTGCGTTTAAAAGGAAAATTCTTCAATTTTGTTTGTTACGCGCTTTTTAGTTTTTAATTTTAGTTGGAATGAAAAAGATGATTGTTTTATCATATATCTTTCTATCAAATAAATCTTTCATTACTAATTGCATGCTTCGAGATATATTTATCGCTTCAACATGTTGTCCAAATAGAAAATAATACGAATAATATCGTCGGGAACAGTACAATTATTGTTAAGAGAATTGTCTTACGAATATTTTTTTGAAGAAAGATACACGATGCAAACACATTTGGATAATTTAACGCAGGAAAAGTGATAGTGTCACAAAAGAAATTCCAAGGAATCCTCACCGTCATATCATATTCCGTGATGTAAGCCGGGATCTCCAATTGTTCGGGGGACATCACTTCATAAAGATATTCTACTCCGGGTAGATTGTGAACCTTTTGTTTGATGGCAGGAGCCATGAACGTCGTGAACCACCACGTCATCATCTGCAAGAGATAACAAACGAATTATCAAATAATACCGTTTTCCGCGTATTTTCATAATTCCAATTCTTAAATCAATTTTATTCTAATCGACGAGCATACGAATAATTTCTCCTCCCATTATGCTAACAAGATGGAACAAAGAAAGAAAGATCCAATTATTTTCCTTCGCCTCGTCGACATCCTCGCTCGTCTTATAAACGATGCTTTTCAATCTCTAACAATCTGGTTCGTGAGATAACAATTAGCCTCGCGCAATAGATCAAGAATATGTTTCCCATGGAGTTGCAAATCATTGTAAAAATGCATTTTGTTAAGTGGATACCGGAAGGACAGGAAGTTCGATACGATCGTTCGATTAACACCGAAGAGAACGTGGGAAATGGAAAAAGACTGATTTTGCGTCTTAAAACTTGAAGTTTATCGATATTCTTTGTCGATTCTCATTATTAAATTGTTGCATAATAATAAAAAATGCCGCTCCTCGAAGAGATCTTGTTTGATCAGTTAATTTAAAATCATGAAGCGGATTACACACGGATTGTTTTCGTTCGCGTATTATCTTGTTCAGAATGCATTAATCTATTTATTCCTTCCACCGTTTTGATAATAAAAAAAAATATATTTGTGTATACCCTTATTTTTTCCTTAATTGAGCACATATTTTTATTAAATTTCATTTTCAAATATTAATATACTTGGATTTAATTAACTTTAGTGTATCTTTAACGCTAATAATAATTAAAATAATAGTATAAAACTCATTTTATACACTGATTAGTTGCATGATAAATGTAAATAAATTGGATTTTTTTTTTCTGCTTGGAATAATAAATCATTGATATTTATGATAAGTTTAATAATTTGTTTGTAATATCAAAAATCAGAAAGAATTTTTATATGTTGATAAACCTAATTAAAAAAGCATTACAATTTACGTAATTACATAATTATCAGTAAATAGCCGATATCACTTTGTTTATTAGTAATAAATTAACATATTATCGAAGCGATTTCATTACATCATTGATTTTCAAAGTCATTAAATCTCCTATTAATTTTTTATCTCCTATTAAATGTAATTAAAAAAAAAAATGGGAAAACACATATTTCGTAGATAAAAAAATATCAATGACTTTGAGAGAAATAAAAAGAAAAAAATATCTTCATCCAAATATTCATTTGTGTCACGTCATGAAAAACAAAGAAGATATTTAGATCTTCAAATGTGACACATTGTATAAATAATATGATAAATATAATGATATGCAAAAAAAAAAAAACTTTTCGTAGCCACTTTATACATATTAAATTTTAAAAAAGGGAAAATGATGTATTTTTGATTAATTTATATTAATTTTATATCTACCTTGGTCCAGAAAGTCGGATGAATAATGTAAAAATGTTTCAGATTCTTCTTATATCTGTAACAAAAATATTTCAAATATTTGATGTTAAAAAAAGTGATGATTCTATCTTATGAATTTTTCTTTGAAAATAATCGATTTAAAATTCTTATTATTATTCCAACAAAATATCTTTTTTATTTAATCAAGTTTCTGAGATAAAAGTATGATGCAAAATTATTATTTAAATTAATATTAATTAATCGCTGACACTAATTACTGTAATGTGTAATGTATAATTTATTTTGAATTATATACTTTCAAGTAGTTTAAATTTAATTTTTTTTATAGCTTTATGTAATTGAAATTTGTGAGTCAAATCGAAATCAATTATTGCATTTTAAACAGTATATTAGATCACCTATAGATCCGTCAGATTATCACAGATAATTTTTTTAAAAGTGAAAAAAACAATTGAACGTGTTATAAGATTTGAAGAAAAAAACAAAGACAGAAAATTTGTAATAAAAAAATTGAAGGAAGATTCAAGCAACAAATGAAAATGAAAACAGGATTATTGAAAATCTCACTTGTAAGGAAGCACGTTGTATACTTCGCGCAACCAATGCAGACTGGGATAATTGTTGCTAGTCGTTAATGTATGGAAATAAGCGATCACATAATCTCCTTTAACAATGGGATCCAACAATTGTATTAGATATAACAATGCCTGAAACAGAAGTAAAAAATTTTTCGTTAATAAATTTTTAAAAATCTTTTTTCGTTGTACAATTATATATTGCATTTGGTAGCTTCGCCATTATAATTATATTCCAGTTTCCACGAATATTTTTCATAAAGTTATATGGATACTGGTAAAAGATTAATGAAATTTATGATACCAATGGCAGCTTACAAAACAAAATGAATTGCACGAAACATAAGAACACAAATAATTAATGTGACAATGATTATTTATAAATTTGAAAGAATTCATGCATATTAACTATTTTTTAAACTAAACATTTTTTTCATACGATTATTTAATCAAGATATTTTACCCTTCAATAAATTCTAAATTATAAATATTATTAAGTGTAAATTTTCAAAATGGACATTATTTATTTTAATAATTTAATTTAGTTGATACAAAATATTGTAATTCAAAATGTTTTTATTTTATCATTTTTGAGAATCAAATTATATAATCCACAATTTTTATTTTTCAAAAATTTTCAATCTAACTACATGTCCATTTTATATTTTGCCAAAATATCAAACCGAATATTATTTAATTCTTCAAAAATTTCCCAATTTCTTTACTATCCTGTAAGACTCTATTTAATCTTCAATTATTAATCTGAAAAAATTTTTCAACACAATTCAATTCCCCAAATTCTTGAATCTTCATTTCCTAAAACCAACCCAAATTATTCCAATTAAACCGTGTCATGGAATCGACCAAATGTCACACGAGATACACAGGACAAACGCCAGTCTTTGATCCTGGCGAAGCGCACTCGTCATCACGTTTTAATCGATCGTGCCGCCACAACTGGAATTAGTACTCTGGTTCCTCGCCCCTAAAACGGAGGTCGTGGAAATCAGGCCTCGTGACGGGGAAAAGAGCAACCGGAACTCGAGGAATCTTGACAGAGAAAGACGGACAAGAAAAGTATAAGGAAAAGTCTCGACCGTTTCCTTAATGCCAGATATCGTTTCGACAGGCACGGTTAGATTAGAATGAAATTAAAAAAAATTCGCTAACTTTTACTCTTTTAAATGATTATTTTAGTTTTGAAGAAGTTCCAAGTTTAAAGAGATTCTAGAAATCTTGAAATTTTAATTTTCTATTATTGTTATTTTTTTTTAAGTACTATAATTAAAATATTTATATATTAAATATATAAATTAAAAATATTCGTGAAATGATAATTTTTTTTAAATAAGAAATTACAAGTTATTTATATATTAATTATTGGGTAAAAATTTATAAAATCACGGATAAGTAATAATAATTTCTCGATCAAATTCAAATTTTAATAGTTATTAGAGAAAATATTAGAAGATTTATTATATTTCGTTCCGTTCTATAACACGCTAACGCGGGAAAAGTTTGTGATTGAAGGAGAAATAAGAGAAAGTCGGTCGTTTCCTTTTGTTAGATATTGTTTCGAGTAAAGAAGGATGGTTAATGTCAGTTGTCGAAGATTTTTACCACCCCATACTGTTTTTTCCCTTTCATATCCCGACGTCATTGATGACGTCAGAAGGTCTGCGCGGGTGTATTTTAATCCGATATCACGATAGACGTCTAACGTGCATATGGGTCGAACGATATTGTGATATTAAATTCTACGTTCTGGTAAATTAGGGCGGATCGAGAAGAAGTGGAAAATACAGGTTTTCTTTTCTTTTTTTTTTTTTTTTTTTAATAAGAAATTAAAATATTAAAATTTTAGTGCGATGTTTTTTTTTCTTTTTTTTTGATTTTAGTGATTCTCTTTGGTAATAGATAAATGACCCGTGATATCACTCTTGTATTTACAAGAATATCTTCAATGGATGGACGAATAAAAAATATTAAAAATTAATTTTTTCGGAGTATAATTTGAATCTAATATTTAAATATATATTTTGATAATTGGATTTCTATTTCAAAAGTTGTTTTCGTTATTTTGAAACGTGAAGTTTTGGTAATTAAAATTTGAGAAATATAAAATTTAGTTTTTTCTCTCCCTCATTTATTGAGTTTTCTTCCAACTTTCCAACAATGCGTTCGTTCCTTCATTAAATATTCTTTTTGTAAAAATTTACCAATTAATAATATTATTAGAATGATTTGATTAAATTCTTCTTTACAATTTTATAATTACACATCAAATAATACAAATATGATTCTTTAAATAATATTAAAAATCACTTTGAATAATTTACAAATAAGTTAATATCATTTTGGAATAATAGAAATTCTAAAGAAATGGAACTCCAAGAGACTCTGTTAAGATATATGAAATTTTATAAATGATAAAATATTACTAAAATGATTATATGATTATGTTACAATGGTTAAATTCTGTAAATAAAATGTAATACTTTTATATAACTATTACAAATATTAATTTGAAAAAATGGAATAAAACAAAAATCTAGAAAGAATTTTTAGGACAATTTAACAAAATAATCTAAATAAAAAAAAAAAATTATATTCTTTTCGCAGAAAAGGATATGCTTATTTTAGAGCAAAATTGAAATAAAAGTTGAAACACTATTCAGACAAAGCTGCAATTATATTTCCGAACAATGTAACATATTGCAGGTATTATTGTAGATATATCTGAAGATTTGATTTACGTCAAGTCATTTGATCCTAAGTAAATCAAAACATCATGAGATGTTGTAATTTCTACGAATTATTCCACGAATAAGAAAATAAATTATACATATATGTTTTTATCTGCGTCAGAGTATTTACTTTGTGAGTATTTCATATCAATTCGCGATTAAAAGATGAAAAATTTGTACGATTAACAAATTTCCAAACTGTAAATATAAACGAGAAAAATTTATTTCATAAATGAGAAGGATTATTTTATTTGATAATTAATTTTTTAATTAATCCATTATTTAAAGATATTATTGATATATTGATTATTGATATATACATGAAATAAAAATTATTCAAAAAGAAAAATCAATTTCATAAATATTATATTATATTATATCTTTGAAAAATCGAAGTATAATGTAAGATTAATTCTATCGAAAGAATATTCTTACAAAAATTATTTTATTAAAATGATACATTATATATGAAGATCAACTTTAATTTTTTTCAATTTTTTACTATATTGATGCTTGTTATTTCCTAATAAAAAAAAAAAAAAAAATACTAAACTACTTTTTTTTACAGAAAAGATTTTCTTAAGATATTTTAATTTCAAAATATTATCGAATTTACAAAAGATAAGAAATAATTGCAAAATAATAGTCTATTATTTATTCTTTTTTTTTGTTTTTCATATGATTTTACAAATTTTACATCAAGTTAGAATATTTTTTTATTGATCCTATCAAAGATTTTTATCGATATAAATAATTTAGAACTTTTTATAAGAAATAATGAACTGTATCGATATCGATACAGTAATAAAAATTATATCGTTTTATTTAAAAAATTAAAGTTGACTTTTATATATTACAATCTATAAAAAAATTTGTCTTCGATAGGATCAATTTCTCATGATACTTCGATTCTAAACGAGATATTCTGTAGAATTTTTATAATTATTTTTATATAATTGCATAAACATATTTATAAATTATATCGCATGATATTTTTATAAATGTTATTAATTTTATATAAACATTTATTAAAAAGAATTAGAAATAAATAATGAATTGATGGTTAAATCAATCTCTGCATTTCTCAGACTTTTAATCATCTTTTCTGCAAATATTTATCTGAAAATAATCAAACTATCGTCGTTGATTTCGTAATTACAAACATTAATTTATATCGAACTTTGTAAGTGTTATAACGTCACAAGTTAAGAAACGGCTTGAAACAAACGAGATTATTCAATGTTTCGTTTCGGTAATCAAATGTGGAGATTTGTAAAAAATTGGAACGATACGAACGAAATAAATGAATCCGTTCAATTTTCAATTGGACGAGGTCGAGTTTACTTGCTCAGCATTGTCGGCACGAAATCAATTAAACTTAAGTTTCTCTCTTCTTTTTTTTTTTTTTTGTTGTACGAGAATGCAGCAGTTAGAAGAATAAAGGTTCGTTAAACGAAATAAAAGATATATGCAGAAACACCTAACTGGCCTTTGTATATTCTTGGAATCGTTGTGGTGATCGTGCGTGATGAATCACACTGATTTCGCTTTGGAAAAATGCTTCACTATGAAATATCTCGTGATTCTACGTTTCACGGATGATGATGTAATGAACGTGAGTCTCGAAGATTTAATACGTATACGTGAAGTGAACTAAAAAACTGTTTGTTTAACTTCGGAATCTTATATGATAATTCTAATAATAAAAATAAATTAAAAAAACTTTGAAATATCGAAAATTTATGAGTTATAAATTTTACAAATTTGTGAATTCTTTTCCCTCCTTCTTGAAACTTCAGAAGACGATAAAAGAATGAAAAAGGATTTGAAAATGCCAAATTTTCATGTGGAATTAAAAATATCTTTTCCTCTCTCTTTCTTTCACAGAAATAATTTGAAAATTTATAAAATTCGCAGAAGATATGGAAGAAATTTTATCGATATAAAAATTAAGAAATAAAAAGTTGGAGATCTTTAGAAAAACTACAAAAACTTTTAAAATTCAAGAACTAGCTCTCTTTCCTGCCGTAACATTGCTAAAATAGAATCTCTTTCTTGTTTCGTCAAAAGAGAAGCATCATTGACGATTCCACCACCGGAAAGTGTTCCGATAATTCGAACGAAAGAACGAAGAAAAAGAAAAAAAGAGAGATACTCGACACCCGCTCGACTACAAGAGGCTGGAATCAAAGATGGAATATTAAATAAATAGAGCCAACGACTTTCTCTATCTTATCAAACAGGGATATCCTTAAATATCGATGACTTAACAAGGGCATATAAATTAAACCTTGTAAAGAGCTTTTAAGTACTCGTTATCTGTATCGCGACCTTGAAATCTTGTTATCTCGGCGGCACGTTTAATTAACGCTCGTCGATTGAGCA